GCATAGACAGACAAATTGTGCATTTCTCGTCCGTGTCTGACTCCTCCCCCTCTTCCTTCTTGCCCTTGCCATTCTGGGGTCTTCTCTAGGAGAAACAAAGGAGGAGCATGTTACCGAGAGCAGACTCACCTGGTGGTCTTGGCCCTTGCAGGCTCTTCCCCCACCTCCCTCCTCCAGTGAGGCAGTCTCTTTTTAAGCTCCTAAGTTATACCCAGACTTCTATGCTCTTCCCAGGCCCTTCTCCCTGCCTAATCTCCACCCCTCCTCCTTGCTGCAGAATATAGAGGGTTAAAGCCAAATGAACTTTATTATTGTTGTTCCAGACAATTCATGTCCCAGGCATAAACTTTACACTGCCCTAGGAGCATAGAGTTTGGAAAGGAATTGGATACCAACGAATCAATCCTTTGCAAAATGTTGGCTGTGCATAAACAGCTTCACCTTTTCTGCTTCCCTTATCCTGTTTACTCCTCCTTACACCCTTTCCAACCTAGATCCCTGTCTCCAGCCTTCTCCTCCACTTTCAGGTCCAGCATGCTTCGTACATTCATCCATCCATGCATTCATTCATTTAATTTTCCTTCCTTCCTTCCTCCCTCCCTCCCTCCCTCCCTGACTCCCCCCCTTCCCTTCCTTCCTTCCTTCCTTCCTTCCTTCCTTCCTTCCTTCCTTCCTTCCTTCCTTCCTTCCTCCCTCCCTTTCTTCATTCCTTCCTTTCTTCCTTCCTTTATTCATTCTACTTACAAATGTCTATTGTGAGGAGCTGAAGATGGGCTCTGGCTTGACCACAATGAGTATGTTCCTGCTCTAAGATTCTCAGTGCTTATCAAGCTTTTCATTCTTAGATTTTTAAATTTTTATTTATTTGTCATCATATCAGACTATATTTTTAGAGCAGTTTTAATTTACATAAAAATTGAACAGAAAATATAGTGTGTTCCCACTTCCCTCTGCCTTTCAACATATGCAGTTTGCCCTATTATTCGCATCTCGCCTTAGTGTGATGCATTTGTTGCAACTGATGAAGCAATAGTGATACACTACTATTAACTGAAGTCTTCTGGTTTACATTAGGGTTCACTCTTTGTGTTAAACAGCCCTTCATGTTTTGACAAATGCATATTGTCATGTGTCCACCATTACATACAAAATAGTGTCACTGCCTTAAAAATCCCCTGTGAATCACCTATTCATTCTTCCCTCCCTCTCCTGAGGTGCCTGGCAATAACTGATCTTTTTATTGTCTTTAGTTTTGCCTTTTCTGGAATGGTATGTAGTTGGAATCATACAGTATGCAGCCTTTTTATGCTGGCTTCTTCCACTTTGTAATATGCATTTCCAGTCCTTCATGTCTTTTTATGGCTTAATAGTTCATTTCTTATTATCATGAAATAATATTCCATTGTATGAATGAACCACAGTTTGTCCATTTACTTATTGAGGGACATCTTAGTTGCTTTTAAATTTTTTAATTTAATCTAAAAATTTTTAAACTTAGATTCCTGGCTTCTAATCCTACCTCAGATTCCTGGCAACAATTCTGGAGAATCTACCTCTGTAGGCTTAGGGTAGAGCCTGTGAATATGTGGCTTTAAAAGCTCCCCAGATGATCTTGATGCTCAATGAGAATTGGAAATGCTGCTCTGAAGCCTTAGTTGCCCATTTGTCTACATGTGAGACTGGAGTTGGGATTCTTTTCTAAGGCAAGTCTTAGCCTTCTGTGTAGGCACTCCCCTTGCTCACCCCACTCAGATACTAACATTCATTTTCCTGTACACCTTCCTAATATACCAACTCACAAGTCCACATGCACACACATAGCCAGCCTCCTCCCTTATTAATGAGAGGCCACCATATCCCCTTCTAGTTACACCTGACAGAGGCAAAGGAGAAAACCTGGGAAGGTATTGCTGCTTCAGAGCATCTAATCAGAGAAAAGGCTTCTAGATTTTGGACTGTGCCCCTCTGTGGACAACCAGGCCAAAGTTAACCTATATCCTCCCCACCCTCACCCCTACTATACATGCTGGCCTGCTGGCTGACTCACCTTCTTGTACTTGTGGGGGAAGGTGAACCTCTCAATGGTGTTCTGTACAGCTCCTCGAGTCACATTTCCCAACCTGTCCTCAAGCTGCAGCAGCTCCTGCAAAGAGAAAAATGTAGACGTGTGCACTCATGTGCAAAGGCACACGTACACATGTGATGAGAAGGAGAGGCACTGACAGATGTTAGCAGGAAGCATTCACACAGCCATTCAGAAGAACTTGTCTGAAAGAACAAAATATCTCTACTTGCTCTCATTTTCTTTCTCTTCCTCTCAACCCAAGGCTCCTCCTGCCCCACTCACTCCCTACCCACCAGCAGGGGAAAAGGAGAGAGGACACGATAAATGGCAGTGATGAATGATAATAGCTTCTCCACCAACCCCACTGGAGCCACGCTGGCCAGAGGATTCCCAGACAGAGGGGCAGGCGTACCTCATAGCTCTCCCGCACAGCAGAGATGTGTCTGCTGGGGTTCAGTCCCTGGAGAGCAAGGAAGTGAAGCTGAGGGTAAGGGTAGTTTCGGATTTCATGGACAACCTGTCGGGGAGAAAATGCCTCAGATAGGATTCAAGCCTTCATGATCCCAGCGTCCGACTCCTCCTCCCATAACCGCCAATCTGCATACCCTGAGAAACTGTGGGCAGAAGTGTCCTTTTTCCTGCTCCTGATCTCCCTCACCCCCGCAAGAACCGAGCCTATGCTGGGCCAGCCCCAGAACAAATAACAAAATCAATAGGTAACAACTGGCCTGATGGGGCATTTATTTCATGCTGTTCTAAGCCCTCAGATAGTTAACTAATGATCTCATCGGATTTGTAATGAGGATGCAATTACTATCCCCATTTTACTGATAGGGTAAATGAGACACGGGCACATTTAGTAAGTGGCCCAACTTAGGCAACCAAGCGGCAGAACCACCATTTCAAACCCAGGCCGTTGTGGGGAAGTGGGGGCAGAGTCAATTCCCTCCCCCTTGACTCCACATTGCCTGACCCAGGTGGGGCAAGTGAGGGCACAACATTTAAGGGGGCACTGTGATCAAGACAAATAATATTTTATTGCAACATTTAAAAAAAATCAAAATTAATATAAAATATCTGTAATGAACAAAATGTCAAATTTTTCAATACAGAGAGGATCTGCCCCTGTACTTGTTTGGTGCTGCCTCGCTCACCTCGCCCCGACCCGGTGTGAGTCAGAGGGCCAGGTGTCCAGCATACTAGTAGCTCCTCGTCTTAGTCACTGCATGGCCCTGGCCTGCTACTTAACCTCTCCATGCCTCAGTTTGCTAATCTGTAAAATAGGGATGTTACCTCTTCTTGTGGAGTTATCGAGAGGCTTAAATAATTCATTTAAATTGCTTAGAACAGTGCCTGGTATGCAGTAAGTGCTCAATAAGTGTTAGCTTTTATTCTCAGTAAATGGTGCTTTATAACAGGAACCATAGGACCTCAGGGCTGAAAGACTGCTGAGATTACTGGCCCACGCCCCTCATTTTACAGATTAGGAGACTGAGGTGCTGAGTGGTTAAAGGCAGAGGCAAGGACTGGCAGGCTGGAGTTGTACTTCGGGGCAGCAACATGAAGAAGCTGCCTGGGAATAAGAAGATTTTCAGTCTTTTGCTACAGTATTATTGTTGTTGTTAGTTTAATGAAACATCTTCACCTTCATTCCGTGCAGCTTGCAATGCCCCCAAACGGAACCTGATCCTTTTGCAGACTCAGCACCCTGCAGTGAAGAGAAGCCCAGCCCCTGCAGGAAGCTGACTGGATCAGCAGCCAGGCCACCCCTTGGGTCTCTTATGTTCCTCACACCAGTCCTGTGAGATGGGCCAGGCAGGTGTCTGCATCCCATGTCATCCCATTTCACAGATAAGTGAACTAACACCCAGGCAGGCACTGACGCTGAGAAATGAACTAAGTGCAGTCATACAGCGCTTGCTCTTAGCCCTGAGCCTTTCCCCACACCTGCAACTGCCCCCTTCCACCCTCCATTGCCCACCCAGTCCTTTCAGCAGTACGAGCTTCTACAGGTGCTCTCAAGTCAGAGAGGGAGTAAGAGTTGGGAGGGGAGGGGAGCAGTTGGCCTGCCTGTGAGCGAGACACACAGAGGAACAGGGCACAGGGAGTAGGACACAAGGGAGCTGCAGGCCTCAGCCCACCATGTCCCCCAACAGGCAACAGGAGTCTGTTCCTGGCAGAGCCCCCTCACTCACCATCTGCGTGGAGGAGGAGTTTCTGGGAAAGTGGTGCATTCGAGGCGTCGCTAGGTAATGCTGATAGTGCTGAAGGATGGGCCGCACCTGGAACTGAGCAGGGCTCAAGCTGGCGTCCACACTGAGATCCCTGCGGGGACACGGCCACAGTGAGCCACGGGGAGGGGGGGCTGGTACTCAGTCATGGGGTGACAGAAGGGACCTCAGACATCAAGCCCATGGTGGAGAACCAGAGTCACAAACAGCCAGAGCTGCAAGAAGCTGGACCTCAGTCACCCGTTCCCTCTCTTAACAGACGGAAATGAGACTCAGAGAAGTAAGAGCTCTGCAAGGTCTGAAGGGGCTAGAACAGTCAAGACCTCATATAACCTTTTGAAACGAGTGCACCTAAGCACCCTTCCAGGACACAGCCCGCCCACCTGAGAGAAATGCTAAGAGAAAAATCCAGATAGAGCTGGTCAGGGACGCGGAGCAAAGACAAGGTCCAAATATAGTGGAGGGGGTAGAGGCCATACTTCAACCACTTGGAGCAAACAAGAGAAGAGGACCTCAGCTTCTGTGAGTCGGGACCTGTTACCCTGGACCCTACCCCCGCCCCACTCCTAAAAGTATAGGAAAATTTATTTTACTTAAAAATTGATCCATTAATGCAACTGAAAAGGAACCAGTGCTCCTTGGGGAAATGGCTAATTTCAGGTCTGGAGCATGAAATGTGCAAAATGAGATTGAGTGAAACATTTTATTGTAACTGAAAACACTACCAGGGTCATGTCAAAACCATCCAGAAGAGGTGGAAACTGGCCAGAGTTTGGACAATTTGCATGTCAATGAGCATAAATGCAATAGATTGAAACACATCAGACAGGTACAAATCCACAAGGTGAAGTGACCCTAAAGAAGAATAATTAAAACTGCTGTCATCTCTCTTCTTCACTTCAACCACTTTTATTCTCTTAATAAAGTGGTGATGAGGGGCGGGGCGGGGTGGGGGGCGGACAACCATTTATCTTGTCTTTCTTCTATTAACTGTACTTCAGGGTAACCAAGTAGTTGATGAAGGGAAATTTCTCTTATAAAATTTTTCTGGCTAATAAATGAGTAAGGAATGATTGAACTCCTTTTTGTATATCCTAAAGAAATAAAGGATTTGGCAGGCAAGGATCGTCAATGGCTACTAACATCTCAAAAGGAGAGACAACCAGCTTCTGCTGGAAAAAACAACACTACCTTTAAAGTATTTTTGCCAAAAAGTAAGAGCTGGACCAAAATCTGCTCAAACCTTGACCTGTGGGGAAATAGGACACTGAGGAACATTGTAAGCAATACCACCAGAGTGTGACCAGCAGAATCCAGATCAGGGAACTACAGAAAAAATACCTGATTTCTGCTTCCAGCCATGATACATCTATAATGTATATATTCCTAGATTTTCTATATATATTAGCCGGGATCCATGAAACAACTCCTGATAAATATGTCCTTTGGGAAATAAGTTAAACTCTTTTTTTCCCTTAAATATGTGGGGTGACATTGATCATATAGATTTTAGCTGTAGATTTCTATGATATCAGATCTGTATATTGCACTGTATGCCCACCATCCAAAGTCAAATCTTCTTCCATCACCCTTCACCCGCTTCACCCCTCAAAAGTTAAATTCTTGGAGCCAGTCAGAAGCAAACTTAGAAATTTAGTAGTCCAGCCCCTGTTTCTTTCTTTCTTTTTCTTTTAAACTTCTCCTGAGGATATTATTTCATTGATTTTTTTAGAGAGAGTGGAAGGGAAGGAGTTTGGGGGGAGAGAGAGAGAAACATTGATGTGTGAGAGACATATTGATTAGTTGTCTCCTGCATAAGCCCCAACTGGGACCAGTGATTGAGCATGCAACTGAAATATGTGCCCTTGACCAGGAATCAAACCCGAAACTCTTCAGTCGGCAGGCCAGCACTCTAACCACTGAGCGACCAGCCAGGCTGGCCCCTCTTTCTTCAGACCTATCTTTGGCCTGAAAATTGGCCTTTTCCGTGTTCCTTGGCTAGCCAGTTAATGTCACCAGGGTTTCTGACCCTTGCCCGAGCTTATCCCATGACCTGCATCGGTGAGGGAGTTCCACGGGCACCCTCCTGCGGCTGAAACTCTGACTCTTTGCAGTCTCAGGGGACCCAGCCTAGTCAAAGCAGCAAAGACACGTTCAGAGAATTCTGCGAAAGCAAAGTCGCAAGGAACTCGGAGCAGAGTTGCTCCAAATCCAAAAATGCTGAGTGGAGAAGCTCCTCGGCCTTCGGGTGAGAGGGATGATCTGCCCAGGTTGGGCCTGGACAGGCTGTGGGATTCCCTCTTCTCATCTCATCAGAAGATGCCTTCCTAACCCCAGGATCCCTGAACAGCGGATGCTGCTCGGACCCTAAAAGAGCCTGGGTCGGGACTTCGGCCCAGGAGACTTCAGCCCTTGGAAAAGCAGTGCCTGCCGCCTTCCTGCTGTTGCCACTGGCCTGTGAGAACACGGCTGAGTTTTGAAAGGGGTCATAGAAACACCCCAAAGGCCTGAGCCACCGGGTTGCTCAGAACGGTGCCCTGGAGATGTCCATGGACATTGTCTCAAAGCACCAGTTTTATCAGCTGCGTCTAAACATCAGCCTCAACTTTGTCTTCCGCTGCCAGTGGCCTTGGAGCGTGGAGCAGTCTGGTTGCCCCACAGAACCTTATGTCGTTTGCACAGAGCTTGCTCAGAAAGTGTGAGCCGGGAGGCTGCTGAGGCAGAGCTGCCTGCAGGAGGATAGGAGGAGGCTCTTGTCCTCGCCAACCCTCCTTCTCAGGTCCAGGTGCCTGGATGTCTCCACTGGGCAGGGCCAGAGGCAGGTGGTAGAGCCGGGTGCTGTCTGCACCGGGGGCCAGAGTTGGAACCACAGAGCCAGGATGAAGCCATAGAGGGAGCATGATAAGGATGGAGACACTGGAGTGGTGGCTCAAGGTCAAGGTCAGGTTACCGGGCCAGGGCAGAAAGGGAGCATTCATTCTGGTTGAGAGAAGCTGCTTGAGTAGAACTAAAATATCCTCAAGGAAGAGGAAAAGGCCGGGGCTAGACGAGGACAGGTGAGGTGTCTCAATTCCTGAAATAATTTAGGGCAGAATTCAGTGGTTTCTGATGCTTCTCTAACGGAAAAGGGGGTGGAGAGGGGTTGCAGACACACTCTCCCCACCTCCCCTCCAGGGCTCCTCGCGGAGGTAGGAGTAGCCCTCCTAGAATTCATTTCCTGCCATCTCATTTCCAGACCGCGCTTCTCCTGGCAGGAGAGGCCTCCCTGGAAAAGAGGGGCAGGATGCCATCAGCACGATCACAAAAAGGCCTCTGTCACTCACAGGAAGCTGGCCCTTGTGGAGCAGAGCTAATTACAAGGGAGGAGAAAGGGTCGCCTCCTCCTCTGGAAAGCGCTTCCTACTTGGGAAGTGGGGACTGAACAGGGAGAAAGGGCCCAGGAGTGGGCTCAGGTGGGCTCAGGACAGGGCCTCCCAGCAGCCCCTGCTGGGACATGGACCAGCCTCTGGGCCTCAGTCTTTATGCTTCCCCACACCAGCAGGGGTCAGGAATGCAGAGGGATTGAAAGGAGGGAGGAAGGGGAGGAGATTTGCTAAATAATCAAAGTGGCCAAGGGCAGGGCCCAGCTGCTCCTCCTGACTTCTCTTCACGACTCTCACCTGTGTCACCTGTCCAGTCCCACTCGCCAGGTTGGACCCCTGTGTTTGCTCGGACCGCTCAGGGTGTGCAAGGGCTCTGGGTGCCCATGTGGGCCGGATTGAAATAGATTGGATTGACTGGATGCTGAGGGACAGAATTCAATCCAAACTGCAATTAAATCTCCCTGATTTGAATCTGCTAATTAGAAAAGGCTGCGCTGAAGTCGGCCGCCGTGCAATCTGTCTTTACGGGGAGTATTTAATTTGACAGAATGTACCTGAGAACCAGCAGGGGCCGGGGACAGCAGAGCAGGTTGAAACAACCACTTCCTGTCTTGGGAGCACCGTTGGCCGTCAATCAACCAGCGCTATCCTTTGGAATCATTCCTCGGTGCCCAGGCCTAGGTTGCTCCCAGAGCAGCCCTGGACTGAGCCAGTCTGCGTGACTAACTGGCTGAGAAATGACACCACTGCACATCTTTTTGTTTAGTCTATCCTTCCCGTTGAGGTTTTTCTGTTATTTTGTATATTTGTTTCTACATTCTTTAAAAAGAAGTTTTTTGCCTCAAAGTAAGAATAGCACAAAAAATTCCTGGATACCCTTCACCCAGATTCCCTAAGTGGTAACAGTTTACTATTTTACTCTCTTTCTCTCTCTCTCCCTCCCTTCCTACCTCCCCTCCCCTCACACACACATATACTTCTCTATGACATTTTTTTCTGATCTAATTTAAAAATAAGTTTCAGGCATGATGCCCTTTACCTCTAACTACTTCAGGGAACTGCACGAGTTTTTCAAGTGTTTGGGAGTTCAGATCCAACCTGAGTTTAGATCAGCCCTCTCCTGAGCTAGAACAGAGAGTCTGGTGGGACCCAGGATCCAAAACCAAGCAACACTACATCCCAGGGCAACAAAGACCTCCGTCCCACGTGCAGGAGATGGCAGGAAGCCTTCACAGCGGCCCAGCGCCTACACCACCTCAACCCCTCTCCCCAGGTTCTCCCCGAGTCCTGGCCTCCAATCTGGCTGGCTGTCTCCTTGCTGGCATGCCCTGGTTCTTCTCTGTGGGCTCCTTGAGGTTCACCCTCTCCAGGAAGCCTTCCCTGACTCTTCTTTCTGCCCTCCTCCCAAGCACCACTGCTTCCTAGCCCTCATTGAGCTTAGCACATGTTTTGTATCTCTGCCCCCACCTCCCCTGCAGGAGCAGGAGCCCTAAGCCTCATCTGGGTACATGGGCACCCAACCACATCTGAGCGAACTGTCAGGACCAGGCCTGGTGGGGACCATTTGGCCCTGAGGGTGGCTGGGGACAGGGGCACAGCCTGGGGCGTGAGGACCGGGCCTCCTGTACCACTCAAGGGAAGGAAACAGAAACTCCATGGATTGGGCAAGACCACTCACCCTCCATCCCTCTCCCAGGGACCGGAAAGACTCACCAGTCAGTGCCCTCAGCCAAATACCTGGGCTGAGGTGTCTGGAGTTGGTGGCCGAAGTCGAAGCTGGGGTAGAGTCGGTGGGGGTGGACAGACACGCGCTCCTGACTCCGCCTGCACCAGAAGGGAAGGAGGCCCATGGCGTCAGGGCTGCCCAGGCCAGCCCAGCTCCCAGCAGCTCTGAGCAGTCCCAGCCAGCCTACAGAGCAGGAGCTTTGCCCCTCGTCCCAAACTCCGAGGAAGCGTCCCAGCTGGACAGCAGCCAGGAACTCAGACATTCCTGTTCTGTCGGGCTGCCCACTGTACTGAGGCCTCTTCCTGGGTTTGTCTGCTGCAGGTCACCTGCCCCTCCCAGCTCCCTGTCTCTTCTGCTCCCTCTCCTACTTCCCTTGTCCTTGATGGGCTGTCTTCAGGACACTCAGATCTACCTCCTGCAGGCTCTCCCACCTCTGTGCACCCTCTGTTCCCCCCATGCTCTTCTCTCCTTGACCCTTTCTTCACACTCTTCCCAGTTTGACAGCCCAGGTCAAAGCCACCTCCTACAGGAAGGCCTCCCTGAACAATCCAGTCATGGTGACCCCTCCTCTCTCTGACCCCATACAGCACTCACCCCTACAGTTAGGGATGCTTATGGCCTTAGAGATCATCTAGCCAAGAGGTTATCAAAGTGTGCTGCAGCTCCCCTGGGAATCCTCCATAGGGGTTATGAGCTCAAAACTGTTCATAATCCTTCTATGAGGTTATTTCCTTTTTCATTCTCTCACAAGTGAGCACTGGAGATTTCCAGTAACTGTGTGACATGTGATTTGCAACAGAAGCCGACGTGAGAACACAGTTGTCTCCTATTAAGCCAGGCATTGAAGAGATTTGCAAATATGTTCTAAAAAAGAAAAGGGGTCACTCTACTTACCGCATTAATATATAACTATTTTTCAAAAATGTATTATTGATGTTAACATATAATGAGTTTGTGGTTATTTTTAAATGAATTAATAAGTATTTTTTAAATTTCTGTTTTAATTTCTAATAAGTATCAATAGTCCTAACCATAAACACAGAAGCTTGAGGACCACTGAGCTAGTCCAACACTTTCTCATGACAGTTGAGGCTCCTGAGGGAAGCGATTTGCCCAGGGTTCCCCGGCGCCTTCAGACCTTTAGGTTAGTGATGTCTAACTTTACTCTCCATTTGGTTCATAGCCGGTCTCTCCAACAGACCTGGGGCTCTTTGAAGGCAGAGCCGAACCAGCATGCCCTTTGGTTATTCCTTAGGGATCTTGGGTCTTAGAACCAGGTGACCAGGAAGCTAGTGGGGACGTGGAGGGTGCCCAGTCAAATCTCCCACAAGGTGCAACCTTCCACGGCAAGCATCAGTGACCACCAGCTGCCCAGCTCCCGTCCCTTACCTGGGCAATGAGACAGGGATGCACACTGGCTACCGAGGGAGCCCTGTGGAGTCCAGGCAGCTCCCACTGCCTGAATGAGTCCTCTCATCTAACTGAGCAAAAGCGGCCTCGGCACAGACCCACTTAGGGGCTGCGTAGTGACTGCCCTGGGTCCCACCCCCGCCCCTCCGGCCACCAGGAAGCACCCACCTGGGGTGCGAGACGAGCCGGCGGTGCTGGGCTTCCAGGAGCTGCTGCTGCAGGAGGTATTGCTGGTGCAGGGCCTGAGGTAGGAAGGAGGGACCTGTGACATCCTGGAACTGCAGGGTGGGCAGCGGGGTCAGGGACTGGTGCAGGGCGCCGCTGTGCTGGTGGGCCGGGGCCATGTGGGCGCTGAGGCCCGGCTGTGACTGCACGGGGTGGGCCAGGGGGAAGTCGGGCGCGAGCTGCTGCGGCTGCAGGGGGCCCAGGTGGAAGTGGCGGCAGGAGGTAGCGTGCGGATGCTGAGACCTTTGAAAGGGGGCACCTGGAGAGGCAAGGACAGAGAGAAGACCCCGTGAGGACCAGCGCTGAGTCCCTCCCCCGCAGACGCCGCCACCACCCCGGGCACCTCCTGCAGCTGCTGAAACTCCAGACCTTCATGAGGACACAGCCAGGTCATTGCTTTTATGTCCATTTGGTCATCTTTAATACGCCAAGGAAAGGCCCATGCCTTACATGTTGGAGGAGAGAGGGATGCTCTCTTTAATGAATAGATAAGCATCCTTTAAAAAATTAACACACTTGTAAAAGGGGTTTTGAGGTCCTTGAGGCAGACTGGCTTTCTTGAATTAGACTCCTCCCATGCAACCTCTGACCTCACCACCTTTTCTAATAGATGCCACATAGAGAACACTGCGACCGGCCTAGCCACGCTCTGAGCTCCCTGAAGCCTTGGCTAGCCAGGACCCAGCCCGTGGGAACCCTCGTTTCCAGAGAGAAAACAACCAGAAGGTGTTTTCCATGCAGTTTTAAGGAAAAAACTAACCACCCCAATATAATTAAGCATTATGTTCTAATATTATAATTTATTTAAAAGCAACCATTTCTAGGAATAAGCTGGGCTCAGGCAACATCTAACCGGGTCTCCGTTACTTTGCTAAATAAAATTGAGCTCGATGACAAGCAGGCCTTACAAATTCCCCAGGAGCAAAGCTGTAGCTCCCGGCACTGCAGTCAGGAAGGTTTGCGGAGGCTTCCTGCTAAACACAGCAGGTGCAGCTCCTCCCCAAACCCCAAGGAAATGAGAGCAAGGGGGCAAAGAGCAGACAAACAGACAAGGACAGAGGGAATAGGAGAGGTGACAGGAGCAGGCAACAGGTGTCAGCAGATTTTTGGAAGCTGGAAAGCAGATGGGGAGTTAGCAGAGATGAGAAACCAGAAACCAAGTTCTAACCAAAGGGATGGTCAGCAAGAAGGGGGGGCAGGATCTTGGCACGCGTGCTGGAAGGTCAGGAATTGGAGGCGGTGGCTACTGTGGAAGGCAGGAGAGAGGGTGGAGCTGAGAACGGGGATGACAAGTCATATGAAAGCAGTCTGGGGCTGCTCACCCTGTCATTTTGTGGGGAAGCTGAGCCAGAGAGGCTCCAATAGAGGAGGGCAGGGCGATGCACATGCTCAAACTGGAGGGTTAGGCGAACGCCTACGAATGGATCTTTGGAAACCCTGCCTCTTCTGCCACTGGGTTCTGAGAGAGCTGTCACCCAGGCGCCCCTCCCCTGCACCCTCCAGAGCCTTAGACTGGAAACTGGTCCCAGAAAAAGCTCTAGAGATGCTTCTGGTTGGGAGCACCCCAATAAAATGGCTGGGTCCCCAACTGGCCACTCTATAATGAAGCCGGGAGACACTCATTCAGGGACCCCCGTCTCTCCACAGCCCTGTGTCATGTGGGGTCTGCGAAAGTAGCAGATAATCGCTGTTCTATTTGGTCTCCAAGCCCAGAGGAGTGAAGTCCTACGGGTGGAATCTCTGGCCCATGACAAGCCAATGATCAGTGACGTCTGAACAACACTCACATCCCCAAATGCCCCTTCAATAGAGAACTACAATTTTTCCCATTACAGTTACTCCTTTGGGTTAAAAAATAATCTGCAGATGTCCCCGATTATACTAGTACTAACCATTTATATTTCCCCGGGGCTCAAATGCCATCGATTGCAAGGTTCACCAGGAGCCAAGTGACATTTTTAGGGAGTGGGGAGAAGGAAGGGTCTCCCAGAAACAGATAAACAAAGCACTAAAGTAACACGTCAAGTGTAAGACCCAAATCCGTTTCAGCACCATGAAGAAAAACGCGTGCATCTTAGAATTCAGGAAGTGGATGGTGACTGCTAGCACCCCCTCAGAGCTGGCTGGGAGCAGCACCTTCAGGCCTGGGGCCTGAGGGAGGTGGGGCAGGCTGGGGCGGTCCAGGTCAAGCCTCATGCAGCTGGGGCAGGGAAGCCCACAGGGCGAGCCTCACCTGATGCCCACCTGGCACACGGGACGTAAGAGGTGCTCCACCAGTGCCCGGGCACTGGTGGTTGGTTCGTGACTCGTGAGCAGGGAGCCCAACAGACTGACAGCTGGAGAGTGAGTGGATCAGGGGTGGGAAGAAACCACAGGGCTTCGCTGCAGGGAAGGAAAGGGAGAAGCAGAGGCTCGGGCCCAGGGCTTCGGGCAGGTGGTGGAGATGACAGTGACGAGGTCCCGGGTCTCTGGAAGGTTCACTGGCAGAGGGGAGATTTGAGTCTAGGCCTTCCCGAAAGGCCAACTGTCGATGGAAGGGAGAGGGCAGAGCCAGGGAACTAGGGCGTTTAATGAAGCAAGGGGACCTCCCAAGGAGGAGGGCGGTGCAGAAAGGGTCCAGGACACCCACAGGACACACAGGCCCATCTGGGGTTTCCTCTGGCCTGGGGATGAGGGGAACGGAGTCAAGGGGTGCAGAGGAGCCTCAAGGGGGCCTGGGCAGGAGCAGAGAGGAGCCAGGCCAAGAAGTCAGAATGTCAGAGACGGTGGCCCAGGCAGAGCCATGGGGCTTAACTGAGGCCTCTCCAGAGCAGAGAGCCTCCTCGGCAGCAGGAATATGCTAGCTGTCTTCTCATCTGAACCAGTGCGGTCACCCCCAAGTAAAGGGGCTTCCTTCTCAAGACTCCAGGGCTGAGAGCAACCACCTCTGAGCCCTTGGGTGAAGAGAAAAGGGAAGAACAGGACGCATTGTGGGACAAGGACAAGGTTGGGCGCCTCCAGCAAAAGGCCGGCCCAGAGTCCCTGTGGCAGGCCCACCCGTCAACCAGGGCCAAATCGGCCCCCTCCTCCCAGGGATGTGGGACCCTGGGAGAGGAGGGTGGGAAGCCAGTCTGGCGTGTCCCATCCTCCCCAGGCCAGTTCTCAGGGTGTCAGGTTCCCCACGGTCACTCAGCTCACTGACCCAGCGTCACTCTCCCTCACAGGGGGAGGCAGAGCAGGCCTTGGGAAGGGGAGAGGGGCTGGGGGAGGGCAACGGCCCCAGGATGGTGTGGGAGAGAGGATGGTGGGGGGCAGCTAGCTGGCAGGGACCGGGGACCGAAGGTGCAGGCTTGTCACTGCTAAGCACTTCCTCGAAGGGAGGGCTGGGGGCAGATGTTACTCCTTTCTGAACTCCAGCTCCCAAGTTGTGTAGAAAACCAGCCTTTTGAAAAGCAAATATCTGCCCACAAGAGGCCAGCGAGGAAGCCTCCGCCACCAAAGCGGCTTTCAGAGGCAGGCAGAGTGGCCTATGTGAGGGCTCTGCCTCGAGGTCAAGGGGCCCCCCTCACCGTCAGCCCTGGACGGGACATCGCACCTCTCCAGGCCCCGTTTTCTAGGCATGGGACCCACACTGATGGCACCGGGTCATACACCCGCTGACATCTCTCGGCTGCCTGGGGCCACGAACACCTTCAGGCCAGGCCCCTCATCTTCCCGGGAAGGTGTTTGTGAACTGAATGCTGGGACAGCCCCCGGCTCCCACAGCTGGGCAGCCCGGACCCAGATCTCCTGCCTATTGAGATTCACTTTCCCACTCTCCTCTCCCAGACCCCAGGGCCTCGCCTGCCTCCAGGCCCACAATGGCCATTCTCTGCCCCTTGGTCCTGCTACCCTACAGTCGCATCCAGTCCAACCTCTACTCCCCAGGACAGATCTTAACTCGGGTGTAATCTCCCAGTCGGATAGACTGCCCTCTCCGCTGGACTGGTGGCAATTGCCTGTGATATTTGGCATTTTATTTGTGGACACATTTTATCTCCAATAATAAGTGGTTAAGGGGGTGCTTTCAGTAGTGCAGTAAATGTCCTTTGTTCTTAGAGGGGCTTAGGAATCTTCCAAGAGGGGAGGGAGGGGTACATGAGAGAATGGGAGAGAGAGAAGGAAAAGGGGGGAGGGGGAGGAAAATGGGCAGGAAGGAAAGAAAAGGAAGAAAGACCTCCATTATCTTAAAAATGTTAAGTATCAGATTATTAGCTCCTCAGGAAATATGGTTCTTCATGGGATCATCAAATATTCCAGCCGAACAAGGCTCAGAGATCGTGCAGCCTTCACTCTTTGATGAGGACCCCGGGGGTTGGGAAAGGTAGGTGGCTTGCCCAGTGCTCTCAGGTCGTTATGTCTGAGTTGGGGCTGGAGTTCAGGCCTCCTAGGTCCCAGTGCTCTCCCCTCCCTGCCATTTCAGGTCCCCCTTCCTCCAAGCACCCAGACCCTCATATGCCCACATCCATGTACACGTGGTACTCCCAAAGAGAAATCCTCCTGCCCAGAAACGGCATGCCAAGGCCCTGGTGGTCCCACCCGCCTCCTCGTTCCCCTCCCAAGCACCCCCAGGAGGAAGCTGGTTCCTGCAGAAGGAAGTTACCATGAACTGGCAAGAGAACAGCTGCTGGGGCCCATGGGGAAGGGATTGGATCTCTTCTGTGGGAGATGCCAAGGAATGGCCGTGGTGAGGGGGAACGCATAGGCTCAGCCCGGTCCACCGTGGCCAGTGGCCCCAGGTTCCCTCCCTGGTCTAAGGAAATGCCCAGGACAAGCCCCAGTTTTATGGAGGAGGCCAAGGTGTTTCTAGCCCGTTGGGTGTTTCTGTTGCAAGGCAATCTTATGGGGCCCCTAGAAGTCCTCATGCAAAAGGCTGTGTTCAGGCCCTATGTTTCCCAAGGTTTACTGATGAGAGAGGATGGAAGAAACTTCTGGGGTCCTGGCACCAATTCCCGGCACCTCGAAGTAACACGGACACGGTGAGCTGGACTCTGGTGATGGAGACCAGGCTTGTTAGAGGACTCAGTGTCTGATATGAGAACAGGTGTGCTCAGGGAAGAGGAGGCTCCGGTCAGGTAATAGCTGCAGGCAAAGGGATTCAGCTCATTTTGGTAGATTTGGATCAACATAACGAAGACATTTCTTAGAATGTCACTGTGTTCCCCAAAGTTCTTCATCATCGGGGATGTCCATGCGAGGCCAACTAACTGCCCAGCAGAGGAGTGTGGCTGGGCTAGAACACCTCCAGGTCCCCTTCTAAGCTGACCATGAAATGATACAGATTCACTGCAACAGCCACCTTCTGCCTGATCATGGTTAGGCCAAACTGGTCTATGAAGGCACAGAAACGCTGGCCTGGGTGATGGAGGAAGGAGGAAGGAGCAAGGTAGCAATGAGAGAGCAAGCCTGAGTACTCAGGGCCCATGTCTGGAGGCCTGAGCACAGGTGCAAGGAGGAGATGCAAGCCACAGGCAGGTGTCTGGAGGCAGACTCCCTGCTCCACTCAGTGTGGCCCCAGGAGCTTCCTCTACCCGCTGCACTGACACAGCTCAGAAGTCCGTTTCCTGCATCTCCTGAGCCTCCCAAGGGCCCACACTGACTTTGCCAGCCTGGGACACATGCAAGTTCCATGTGGCTAGATAATCCATCCCGAGACAGGCTGCTCAGGGAGATAATACAGGAAAGGGGGGGGCGCATATCATGGGGAGTCTTGAATGGTGGGACCAGGAAGGAGCCTGGGTACACTTCATAAGTTAACTGCTTGACTACAACCCAGACATATCAGAGATGATGACTATGGGGAGTGGGCCATTTGCCCAGAGCCCAGGTTCCTAGGCTGTCCTTCCTTGCTTCCTTACCTACTCCAGGTAAATCTGTTTAACCTCATTTGCTAGTCTGATCAACCCCAGAGGCCTATTCCCTGGCTTGGCTCCTGGGCTGCCTGGGGTCTGCTTTCCTCTCCCCGCATAGTTTGGTTCCCTGACTGATAGAGGACACACAGGCGGAAAGGAAGTGATATGCCCAAAGGGACCCCTCCTACCCAGAGCAGCTTTGTGAATGCTTCCCCAGGGCCAGCCTTTGATCTAAATGAACACCTCTGCCTCTTCAAGGAACTGAATTCCGGACTCTCATGATACTGATGTTCCATCCTAAGGAAGTGTCCTTGCCCATGGGCCTGAGACAATTAAACAGCAAACCTCCAGCAAGCAACACAGGGCCAGTATTTGGCTCCAGTTGCTGTCAGGGTCCAGGGAAGGGAGGAGGTGGTGTCCGCTAGGAAACCCCCGCGAGTAATAGGACTGTCATCCAGGCATTGTCCATCCTAGAACACACCTTTCTCCATCTAATGCCAATGAGGTTTATAAAAGCATTCCCACCGCAGTCAAAAAGCACATTTTATGGTGGGCTCTATGGTCAGATGACCTCACTCGGTGAAGGCGAGACCTGGCTCTGTCTCATTCACCTATAAGCACAGACCTTAAGACATAGCAAAAACGTGCTGGCTGAGTGGATGAATGGATGGATGAGTGAATGGAATGAACAGTTGGACATGTAGGAAGGAGCATCTTGCTAAAGCCTTGGCAGTATGCAAAACAGCTGCCTCCCAGCGTTCAGCACTGGTTTGAGTGATGGCAGAGGAGCAAATGCCACCAAAGGAGCTGGAAACACTGCTGACAGAAACACGGGAATTCTTTCAATGAGTGTCGGGGCCCAGTTGCGAGTCCAACATGGACTGGGGTGGCCCAGCCCACGAGATGGTCAGTGCGAATCACAACCCACTACCCCAGAAGTTAAAGCGGTTTCAGAGCCAGAACAGAACCCCCTGACCAAGGAAGGGTGGGGGGTGGTTTGCCTTGCTGATGGCCTTGGTTGTAAACCACGCATAGTTCCTCCCAGCTCATGAGTCAGACATTCTCCTAATCTACACTAATAAAAGAGAAACATGGTAATTAGCGTATGACCGCTACCCTTCCCATTGGCTAATCAGGGAGATATGCAAATTAACTGTCAGCCAAGATGGCGGCCGGCAGCCAGGCAGCTGATGCGAACAGGGAGGCTTGCTTCCTTCAGTTACGGAGGACTCCAACGTTCCCCGCCTGCACTGCCCGCCTCTGAGCTGCAACTCTAAGCAACTATGTTGCAAATATAGAAGCTAAACAAAACCCCAGAAACCTCCTGTCAGTCAGCCGGGATCTCAGAGCTGGAGTCGCAACATTGTTTCGAATACAGAAAACAAAGGCCAGAAACCTGCTTTCAGCAGCCGAGCCTCAGAGAGAAAGCCGGCTCTCAGCTCCAGTGACAGCCATAGAAGGTAAATAAATGCCAGAATAAAAAAAAAAGAAAAAAAGGAGAGGTTTGGAGCTTCAGTCACCCGCCAGCCTGAAAAAAGCCCTCAGCCCCTCACCCAGACTGGCCAGGCACCCCAGTGGGGACCCCCACCCTGAAGCAACAAGATGGCGGCTAATTTGCATACTGAAGGCAGGCGGCAGCAGGCAAGGCTGTCTGCGGTCTGGGACCCGGATCTGTGACCCTGCCAGGCGGGCGGCAGTGCTTGAGGCTGTCTGCGGTCCCAGGACCCAGATCTGTGACCCTGCCAGGCGGGGGGCAGCGCGGGAGGCTGTCCGCAGTCCAGGACCCGGATCTGTGACCCTGCCGGGGGGGATCAGCGGAGCTGCGAGGCCTCCCGGCACCGGGATCAGCGTGGCAGGGGGCAGCGCCCAAACTCCCTGATCGCCCTGCGGCTCTGTGTGTGACAGGGTGCGGCGCCCCAACCCCCTGATCAGCCCTGCTCTGTGCCTGATAGGGGGGAGCTCCCCAAACCCCTGATCGCCCTGCGGCTCTGTGTTTGACAGGGTACAGCGCCCTAACCCCCTGATCGGCCCTGCTCTATGGGTGATAGAGGGCGGCACCCCAATCCCCCCCACGGGCCCTGCTCTATGTGAGACGGGGTAGAGCCATAACCTCCCCATCGGCCCTGCCCTGAGTGTGACAGTGGCGGCACCCCAACCCCCTGATCCACCCTGCTCTGTGTGTGACAGGGGGCGGTGCCCCAACCCCCCTGATGGGCCCTGCTCTGTGAGTGACAGTGGGGAGCTCCTCAACCCCCTGATCCGCCCTGCTCTGTGAGTGACAGTGGGGAGCTCCTCAACCCCCTGATCCGCCCTGCTCTGTGTGTGACAGGGTACGGAGCCCCAACACCCCTGATGGGCCCTGCTCTGTGCATGACAGGGGGCAGTGCCCCAACCCCCTGATCTGCCCTGCTCTGTGTGTGACAGGGGTCGGTGCCCCAATGCCCTGATCCGCCCTACTCTGTGCGTGACAGGGGGGAGCTCCCCAAACCCCTGATCGACCCTGCTCTGTGTGTGACAGGGTACGGAGCCCCAACCCCCCTGATGGGCCCTGCTCTGTGCATGACAGGGGGTTGCGCCGCAACTTCCCTATCGACCCTGCCTTGAGTGTGACAGTGGGCGGTGCCCCAACCCCCCAATCGGCCGTACCCTGAGCGTGACTAGGGGTGGCATCGCAACCTCCCGATCCGCCCTGCACTGTG